TCTACTGCTACCATTCTCAGATACACTGCAAAGGTTCACACTACACGCGTTATGCATAACCGCTAGCTGTGCTGCATTCTCACGCTTCTTTTCATATTACTCTAGCTATATAACTGATTGTTTTAGTGATTCTTACTATGTGACGATGTTCCACTGATGATGGTCACACGAAAACGTTCTGGAATTGTTTCATTTTAATTGTTTATACATGGTGATGAGTGCACAATTGATATTTTTCATTGCTAATAATAATAATAATAATAATAAACAAACATCGTTTAGATCCACCATTCAACCATCGATCTACAACAATCAAAATAATTGCAGGTTCCCTTTCCCGCCAGCTGGACATGCATGCTCTCGCCAGGCCGGCAGTAGTCCAATGCCGCTACTTGGCGACTCCCTGGCTCTCACTTTTGTCAGCCAGGTCACACGTCTTGTCGTGCACGCGCACTCGCGCAGACATCCAGCACACAAGCGTGTAGAAATGTGTTTTTTTTTTCGGGAAAGTCGGTAAAAATTAAGTGAGGGTCCCTTTAGTCCTTCGGTCAATTGAATGCCATAATTTAGGACCAGGCTGCTACCTTAAGTGCGGAGTATGGGATATGGACACAAAAGACAAAAACACAGGAGCTAGAGGTGATACTGTACTGTATTCATAATAATAACCTTTTTTTGCTTGGAAGAACTATTCACTCCAAAAAAATCTCTTCTATAACCTTCATGCGATGAGTGGGATTCAAAGCCACCATTCTGCGTAGGTTGAACTCCTCTCATACGCATATGATAGATCGTAGCAAGTCATCAAACGCAATGTTCCTGTCGTGGAAATATCTATTTGAGTATTTGGAATGTCTATTCGTTAGCCCCGTGCTGCAATATGTATTTGCAAAATTGAAAAATCACCATCACTGATGAAAATGTCAGCCCAGTCTGCGTCCTTCCAGCCTCTTCGAATTCCCACGAAGCGTGGCTTCGATGTGGGAAGAAAATTTTGCACGGTCACTGCTTGGACGGCGACCACACCATAGCTTAGTAGTACTAGTAGGGCATCGCTGGCCTTACGACTAAGCGAGGGTCCCTGGTTGAGGTGCTGACGGTGATAATCAATGGTCCTTCAAACGTTTCCTGCTCACACCTTTCCGTCGTTTACTGCATAGTCATTATTGGCTCATTTATTGATGTACAATTGCCTAACTCTAGCATAACAGTTATCGAGTTCGACAATAGGGCTCAAACCTGACAGAAATATGGGTTCGACAATAGGGCAATGCACACACTCTCGCAAAACCGGACATACTTGAAGTAGTACACCCGATACCCATGTAGTCTTGCATGCAGCCTAGTGGAGGGAATAGTCTGAACTGCTGTCTTTAGCTGGTAAGTAGGGAAAAGCAATAATTTGGCGCTTGCTTGGGCCATCAGTACCGGTCAGTGTAACAGAAATGCTTGATGTACATGCACACAGTACACTGTACATAGAATACTTCAAAGTAATCCGCGAAACGAGTATTCCCTCGTTTCAAATTTTCAAGCCAGCGCTCGAGTATTCGATATACTCGTTTCACCTCTAGCCTACACTGTAGAAGATCGATTGCAGTCAACTACAAGGATCAAAACGACATTAACCCTTTGTGGGTCTTACTCAATGTATGTGAGGGGTGGTCACGCAAACACGCGCACAAACAACCAGCCATAACTCAAGTTCTGTGCGTTGTAGGTATGGGTAAACTATATATTTTCAAATTCTGTATGCCTAGACGAGTCCAGAAAACACAAATATGACTATGTCCAGGCAAGGGTATGACCCGTGGTAGCCCTTCAAGTTGAGAGAAAATACAATTGCGAACAAAAAGCACAAAAATCACAGCACGAAGTGCATACCAAGTTCGTGATGGAGCTGAAGTCCTATGATAAACAATCAGGTAAGCGCTACGTCTTGGTGAAGAATATATGCTCCTAATTCCGTCCTGGAACTCCAACACGTCGCCATCGGCGAGGCACCAGCAGCAACAGTTCCACAATATCACAATTTTGGTTCGTTCAGCTCAGCGCCGCTCGCGTCAGATTCGCTCGCTCAGATGAGTACGAGACTCGTACTCAGGCGCGATGTCACGCATGCCGTGATTCTCACGGCCAGGCGAATCAGCTGATCGCACCTGACAAGTCCTTGTAAGAGTTGCTGTTGCTGTGCTTCCTCACTGGTTGGTAAATTTGATTTCTTCATTCGGGGACGATTTATTTGAGCTTGGAGGACTCAACGGAGCTCTCTTTCTCACGACATTACACTGGAAATCCTCCAGGGACATCCAGCCTAGACTGGTGCCGTCAGTGTCCTCAGAAAGCTTTTCTGACACGGCTTCAAGAGATGCACTCCCATTCTCGAAATGCGCGCATGGCGGATGTTCGTCTTTTCCAATTTCACCAGACTTCAGTGGATCAATACTGCAAAAATTTGTATGGTAAGTATGGTTGTTTTTTACACCGTTGGAAAGCCTTGGACCTCAGCTACACGTGGAGCACCATTTTAGTTGTCTCCTAGCAACAAAACTCACCGAAAATACGATTTTGCTGTAAGGGTCACATACGACCCTTACGCTTATGTGAGACCCATAAAGGGTTAAGTGCGGAGTATGGGATATGGACACAAAAGACAAAAACACGCGAGCTAAAGGTGATACTGTACTGTATTCATAATAATAACCTTTTTTGCTAGGAAGACCAATTCCTTCCAAAAAAATCTCTTATTGAAACGTCATGCGATGAGTGGGATTCGAACCCACCATTCTGCGTAGGTTGAACTCTTCCCATACGCAGAGGATACATTGTAGCAAGTCATCAAACGCAATGTTCCTGTCGTGGAACTATCTATTTGAGTATTTGGAAAGTCTACTCATTAGCTCAGTGCTGTATTTTGTTGGCAAACTGGAAAAAATCACCATCAGTGATGGAAATGTCAGCCTAGTCTGTTCTACCAGCCTCTTCGGATTCCCACGAAAAGTAATAGAGCCTCGCTGGCCTTACGACTTAGCGAGAGTCCCTGGTTGGTGTGCTGTTGGTGATAGTCAGTTGCCCTTTATTCCCGTAGCTATGCAGAAGACGTTACTTCAGTAACGTCTGGCGCTAGCCAGGGTCCACACAGCTTTAATTTGGTGTTTGTTTGTGTGTTTGTTTGTTTGTGTCACGCCTGGCGCTATCCCGTATCTGTCCCGTACTGTACCGTACCAGCAAAGACAGCTGGCCACAATATTTTTGTTTGTTTGTGCCATCGACATGCCTGGCGCTATCCCGTACCTGTCCCGTACCATCAAGAGTACGGTACCATCAAGAGAATGAGTATATATGCCAAGTGTATGGGGGGAATGCATTCAGTGCAGTACCATTACATTTAGTGTGGATTTGTGTGCGAGGCCGAGATCCCACTAGCAGGCTGGCTGGGCCGCCTGTCGACCAGCCCGGGAATCGCATGTAGGCCGATAGCGTAATAATTATAACGTATAGACCTTATTCGATAAACGTCACAATCACGTGAACCGGGGTCCCGGGATCCAGGGAGTGGCAAGAGATCTGCGCTCAGTGCACAGTGGACTCTGTGTGCGAACATAGGAGTAGATAAATACCGGTATTTTACTACTCTTTCGTACAAACTGGGCCTTTCTTGCCACTCGTTTCTCGTACGCGTGCCCTAGCTTATGACAAATCCCTGGAGGCGAGTCCAAAAGTCACGTTATCGAATAAGGTCTATATACAGTCATGTAGATGTATAGCAGGGAGTCATATTATGTAAACGACTCCCTGCTGTATGGGGAGATTTTCTGGAAAGAAATACGAAGTAGGGAGACGAGTAAATGCGATCAGAATGGATGTTAGTTGCCGTCAGTATAATAATAATAAGAAGAAGAAGAAGAACGCCCGTGATCGGCAGAGTCAGCGCCGGTCCCAGAAAACGTCAGGACAGACATCCCGTCGACTCCAGAACGCCCGTGATCGGCAGAGTCAGCGCCGGTCCCATAGCTATGCAGAAGACGTTACTTGTACTTCAGTATCTCATTGAAACGTTTTTGCAATACAATGATGTAGCTAATCAAAGGAAAAAGCATTTCCATCAGTTCTAACAACATGCGCGATGAGCTAGGCAACAAAGCATAGCGCAGGGCCCTGAGCTTCCAAGCTCTCTCGTTAGCATTATTATTATTATTATTAATATTCAAAGGTTCAGTCGGGGAAGTGAAATGCCTGAAAAGGGAAAAAAAACGCCAGACCCACCAGGACTCGAACCTGGGACCCTGCTTGTGACGAGCAATGCTCTAACCACTGAGCTATGGGACCAGGCTGAACCTAGAAGGCGTTGACAAGTTTTTCATTCCAAAGGCAGCTCACAACACGTGCCTCACATTGAATTTGAAGTTCTCACAATCCTTTCCAAATTTAATCAATTTCTTTCACCTCTGGTAGTTTCCAGAAACTGACCGCGGTTGGTCCCCTGGGGGAGGGAAAAAGACCCAAGTGCCATCAGTATGTGTGGCACGTGTTGTGAGCTGCCTTAGGGCGCGTTCAGACTGGCGTAAAAAACAAGCGGAATGT